AGCTAATGGCTAGTTGGATGCCAATTTGTTTTGGCTGATCAGAAACTCAAAGCGAGTTTTTTTTATATATATGCGTGCGTGTGGGAAAAATGAGGGCAATTTGGGAGCAAATTTCCTGCAGTAAAATTATTCTCTATACCGGGATTTCCTAAACCATGTTCCGTGTTTTATTAGGAAAAAGTGTCTGGCTCCTCTGCCATTGATGGTCAAAAGTTCTTGAAAAAACAGTTGTTTTTTGAAATATCGGCAGAATTGTAGGATGGATTTTAATGACTTGATTTCTTGATGTCTGAAATAGTTGTGAAAAAGCAAGGAACAGTAATCATTTTTTGCGGAAAAACTATAGATGCTACAAGATTTTCCAAAAAGCCCAAAAAAGGATTAGTGCATCAACTCAAAACAAATCAGTTGATTCCAGTTGGCTAATAAACGCCAAATTCCACATTTTTGAACAGTTGAAATCTAGTTCTTAATCTATATGGACAAAAATGATTTTCTCTTTAACGCATTTTGCTAGCAATTAAATAGAGTACATTTTTATCTATTTCTCATAAAATGTTCAACACGAGAGCAACATTTGGCAGATTTTCGCTAATTTTTCAATTCTTCCTGCAAGCGACTCTATATGTCTCATTTGTTCCAAATGTGCTCCGAATACAATTAGTAGTTTGCTGCACGAAATGGAGGCTACTTTCCGCTTTTTCGCCCAAAAATTGGACGCCTGTTTATCCGCACAGATCCACCGAAAATGCGAGAAAATGTGCATAGACGTTAACTGTTGGAAAATCCTCAATTTTCTCTACTTAACTAAGTTTCATGATTATAACCTGTTAAAAATGAAAATTGGTAGCGATCCGCTTGTCAGCCCACGGAACGAGGCAAAAATTATCTATTTTGGCTGAAAACTTGATTACAATACCGGATTTTTTAGGAATTTTTGAAATGTGAAAGTCACCTTTTTCTTCATTAGTACGCATGTGGTCGACTAGTTGTCATTATTTTCTAATAAACTCGACAAGGGGCCGTTTTTTTCGCCAAATTTAAAAGAGCAAAGTGTTGCAAAAGACTCATTGTGCTCGGGATTTTTTTAAATCAACAGCAATCTTCCGATTTTCAATTGGCAGTTATTTAAGCGCATGTTTGAAGTTCTAAAGCTCTCTATTGGAGTGCGTTGGCCGCTTGCTTTTTTCATCATTCTATAGAGCACAACTTCTTCTATCTGGCCTTAAGAGTCTTTCAGTAAAAAGCAAACTCCACATTTTTTAGGAGATGTTGAAATCCAGTTCTTAATCTGGATGGACATTTGTTGCAAAATAGGTTTCAAAACTAAATTTTCCTAAAATACACTTAGCTAGGAAGTGGATTTTAACGTCATTAAATAGAGCACGCTTTTATCTATTTTTGCT